CCAGGCTGGAGTGCAGTGGCATAATGCTCATGGGCACTGCAGCTTCAACCTGCTGGGCTCAGGCAATCCTTCCACCTCAGCCTTCCAAGTAGTTGGAACTACAGGCATGTGCCGCCATGCCCAGTTAATTTTTTGATTTATTGTAGAAACAAGGTCTCGCCATGTTGTCCAGGCTGGTCTTGAACTGGCGGGCTCAGGCAATCCTTTCGTCTGTGCCTCCCAAAGTGCTGGGATTACAGGCATGAGCCACTATGCCTGGCTGATCTTTAAAATCTTAAAGAGATATATCATCCAAAGGCAATATGTGAACCTTGTCTGGATTTTTATTTGAACAAATCAATTGTTTTTTAAAAAGCCTTCAAGACAACTAGAGGAATTAGAATAGGGATTGAGTAATATTAATAATGTTAGAGATACTTATTATTAATTTTTTAGATTAAAAAAAATCACACACACACACACACACACACACACACACACACACACAGTCAGCCCTTTTTAAAATGACTATACACACTATAAAGTTGCTCTCTGTATCTGTGCTTCTACTTCCCTGTATTCAATCCACCATGGACTGAAAATATTCAGAAACAAAAAAGGAGTTGTTACATCTGTACTGAATATGTAAAAACTTTTTCTTGACATTAGTCCCTAAGCAATACAATATAACTACCTACATAACACATACATTGTATTAGATATCATAAGTAATCTAGAGATGCTCAAAGTATACAGGAGGATGCGTGTGGGTTACATGTAAATACTCTGTCATTGATATCAGGGACTTGAGCACCGGTGGATTTTGGTATCCAAGGGGGATCCTGGAACAAAAACCCCATGGATATCGAGCAATGCCTGCATACCAAAAGTGGAATGAAATGATTTCTGAAATGTTCTAAGAGATAATGCAACAAAAGGAAGTGAGAGGTAGATAGCAAAATGTGGATAATACTGAATCTGAGTGATCGGTATGGTGTTTATCAGGTTTTAAAGTCTCAATTTTATATATATTTGAAAATGTCCATAAAAACAAGATAAAAAATATATTGTATTACTGGTATAAAGTTTTCACATGTACTCCATACTTTTCCTTCTTGAACCTCTTTATCGCAAATGCCCTAGAATTTTAATCTGGAGTTCTGTGGGAAGGGCTGGGAGTGCAGGTAAGTGACAAGAAGGGACCAGGGCTGGAACAGAACCTGCAAAAAGGCCAATATGCTAGCTGGAAAGAAATTCAAAGCTCAGGCTAAGAGCAGGGCCTTCGACAAGGAGGAAGACCAAGGCCAAAGTAAAAATTTGATATGTAATTCGGTAAAACATGTTGATGATATCATAATTTCATATAGTGTGCTGTAGTTGTAAGCTCTATGTTTATTATTCAACTTAATTCTCCTAACAGCTCCATGAGGGAGGAATAGCACAAGTTCTTTCCATATCCCTCAGGAACAGGAAGCAGAACGGAGCAATAGGAAAGTGTTGAGGGCTTAAGGAAAGGGAAGCACACTGGCTGGCCCAGGAGAGGTGGGCCCCAGACTCTCTCTATTTTCTAAGCTGGCTTTAAAAATGAATTGCATTGCTTTATGGTGCAATGTACAAATCTCCAGATGGCCCCAAGCTTTGGCACTCCCTATTGTCTTTCTTATCCCAGAGCCAATCCATACACCTAAATTACTTGCCTGGTGCCTGCAGATTTGCGTTTGCTATCCTTGCCCTGTGAATCAAATGTATCTTTAAAAGACATTTTAGGGAACACTGCTAGAAAAGATGGAAAGTTGAAATGGAAGCTTTTTCAAGGTACAGCAAGCCAGATAATTATTTTTGTTTAATATAATTAAGTAAATATTTTATCTGGTCACTTTTTATAGTCTGGAGGTTAGCAAAGTCTTTTATATTGACTTTCACATGTTTGATCATTGCTTTCTATACATTTTATATATGTCAAATTAAATGGAATTCATGTTATGAAATTCTGACAGATGTGAACAAGATAGTTGTAACAGCCACCCCTTTCCCTCTCTGTTGCTGTGTGTGTGTGTGTGTGTGTGTGTGTGTGTGTGTGTGTGTGTGTGTCAGAGTCTCTCTGTTTCGCCCAGGCTGGAGTGCAGTGGCACACTCACACCCACCACAGACTTGACCTGCTGGCCTTGGGTGATCCTCCCACCTCAGCCTTCCAAGTAGCTAGAGCCACAGGCACACACCACCATGCCCAGCAAATTTTTTTGATTTACTGTAGAGATGAGGCCCTGCCATGTTGCCCAGACTAGTCTCGAACCCCTGGGCTCAGGCAATCCTCTTGCCTCCCAAGTGCTGGAGTTACAGGCATAATAATAGAATGCCTAGTTCTGTTGCTCTTTTTTTTTTTTTGAGTTTGAGTCTCACTCTGTCGCCCAGACTGGAGTGCAGTGGCCGCTCCCGGTCACCGCAGCCCCGATCTACTGGGCTCCGGTGATCCTTCCGCCTCAGCCTTCCAAGTAGCTGGAACTACAGGCGCGCACTACCACACCCGGCTAATTTTTTGATTTAATGTAGAGATGAGGTCTCGCTGCCCAGGTGGGTCTTGAACCCGCGGGCTCAGGTAATCCACTCACCTCAGTCTCCCAAAGGCACGGGATTACAGGCTGAGCCACCGAGCCTGGCTGCTCTGTTGCTCTTAATCTTATTACCTGTATAGCATAACATTTTTATCAGCTTTCTTCAAATAATATCTTATATGGAATTCCAATATTAAAAAAATTAAAACTGTTTTGCTGACATTGGCAAATTGGATAGGATTAAATTATTAAAGTCACTTATGAAAAAATTAAGCAATAAGATTACAGATGACAGTTACATATAGTGCACTTTCCAATTATTTCTGTATTTTATTTAATTGACTGTAAGGAAACTGTCTTCAATTGAGTAAAAATGGCAGAAGATGCTTGACTGAAATATTTACACACAACAAAAATCAACCAGCAGCACTACCCACTGAACAAAGAAGGTCTGTAGACCCCACTCCTGGGTCACCCAGTGTGCTTCCCCTGCCTTAAGCCATTCAACTCTTCCTATTGTTCAGTCCAGTTTCCTATTCCTGGGGGTATGCCATCAAAGGCAATTGTTACTAATTTGTATCTTCATCACAAGCAAATTTGTTTATAATGATTATTATATAGTCTTTCCTCAACTTCATTGCAAATTAAGCACATCATATACTGACATTTGTATATTTTTCCTTCACTTTCTCACTCTGTTTCTTCTCTTCTTCCCCAATTTATTCTCCTTTCTGCATAATAACAATACTTGCTTGCTAAGCCAGAACCTTAAGTCACCTTTTGCTTCCCATTAGAAAATTTCAGTAGGTTTCATTCCCTGCCTCTAGTTGACTTTCCAGTTGTCTTGATATCTGCATGGGATGCTTCAAAACTAAATTCTAAACTCTATCCAGGCAACATTTGGGGTAATAAATCAAGTAGTTTTGACTCCATGTACAGAAGCAACTTAACTAAAATCTGATAAGTTTAAATTAAAATATAATTATGGAATTTAAACATGCTGAAAAATGTCATTTCAAAAAAATCTCATCATTTTCCTTTTACTGATGTAAACACTTCCTAAACAGCAGTCTTTATAAAAATAATGAATTATAATGAAATGTTTTTCCATATTCCAATTAATCACAAATACTTTCTTATATAGACAATTTAGGTTAATAAAACTCTAAACACTTATTACACCTTTTGACAAAAGTGTTTCAAATTAAGCATCAGAAAATATACCCTCTAAATATACTCTACTGCAAATAAGATGCCAATATGATTTTAAAAAATCAATTCAAATTTAGTATATCTAATTCTATAAGCTACTTCACACATGTTTTAAAATAAAAACTACAAAGAAATGATGTAAATGTTAGAAGCCAGCTTTCCTTTCATTTTCATCATGCAACTATTTCATGACTTAAAGTCCACAACTCACTTGGCAGATGATATGACCACTGCATGTTCATCAGAATTGAGAATTTTTGTAAGATGTGTTGCAACTGAGTCTTCATAAATTGTCATCTGAAAAAAGAACAAAAAACTACATAGCATTATTGTTCTAGGTATTTACACAGCTCAGCTATTACTGCTGTAGAAACTGAACCATTCATGACCCATGTGAGTCAGGGCAAAGGCTATAATGAAATACATAAAAGAGTCATTATGCAAAATAGATAAATATTTCTTTTCTGTAAAAAGCTTTTGTTTCTGAAATCTCTTATATTCTTAGAAAAATCCATAAAAGCCCACTTAGGAAATTTTTTTAAATGTCAAAGACCTGATATACAAATAATTCCTACAAATGACTATAATAAAAAACACACACTCTAACACAAATTGGAAGAACACCTAGAAATTTAAATATGAGAATATCTAAATGGTCCATAAACAGATAAAAAAGTATTCAACCTCATCAGCCATCAAGTAAATGCAAACTATAGTCACAATGTGGTACCATCATATAGCCATCAAAATGGCTAAATGAAAACAAAAATGTAAATTGGCAAGTGCTAGCAAGTTGTGCAGGTACAGGGGTCTCATACATTGCTAATAAGAGTGCACATGGATACACACACTCTAGAAAACTATTTGGTAGTATCTATTAAAGCTGAACACATGCATTCATACCATAGGATTCAGAAATTCAACTTCTACATAAACATACCTAAAAGAAATGCAGATGTGAATTTACCAAAAGACATGCACTAGAATGTTCGTGGCGGCATTCATTCATTCAATTGTAGAATTGAATGAATTACATTAAATTACAATATAGGGATACTTGAATGTGGTCCTATGACCTGGGAATTGGTTATTTTGGTTCAAGCTGTATGTTCATGATGTGTGCACTTTTCTGTATGTATATTATATTTATACTATATTATAAATCAACAAAAAGTTTGTTAAAATGCTGAATGCACTGTCATACAGTCATATAAATAAATATATCTCTTAGCCACACGCAGTGGCTCTTGTCTGCAATCCCAGAACTTTGTTTGAGCCCAGGAGTTTGAAACTAGCCTGGGCAACATAGTGAAACCTCATCTCTACAAAAAAAAAAGAATTCAAAAATTAGACAGGCATGGTGGTGCACACCTGTAGTCTCAGCTACTCAGAATGCTGAGGTAGGAGGATCACCTGAGTCCAGGAGGTAGAGGCTGCCATGAGCTGTGATCATCGTGATCATGCCACCACACTCAAGCCTGGACAACAGAATGAGACCCTGGCTCAAAAAAAGAAAAGAAAAGAAAAGAAAAAATATATATACATATATCTTAAATAATGAAATAATCAGAATGTCAAAAGCATCCATATCCCTTTTTCTATTTGTTACAAACTTTAATATCTGGTTGAAAGAAAGCATCTTCCTAATAAGTAAAAATGCAGCAATGTTTAAATAGCCTCATATTCAGAGCCTTACACCAAATGTTTGCCTCAAATAATAATTCGCATCACACAGCTCAAAATTTTCCGTATAAATGATCTGCTCTATGCAAGCTGGCCTCCTATGCTCTTCTGCCTGACTCTGACATCCTTTCATTGCTTTTTGCCAATCAGCATCAGTTTATTCATACTTATTTGAAGATTCAATTAATGTCCCTCCCCATAAAGTCTTCCTGACTAGCCTCTTTCCCAAAGAATATCATTACTAGTTTATATTCAATTCCACCAGTGGGCAGGCAGTATGTCACTTTTTCAAATTTCTATTTTCCCTCCTTCAAAGGCAGACCACGTCTAGGAAAGTAATTTTACAACAAAGAAAGGAGGAGAGGGTAGGAGTTCCAAAGTGACACACACTATTATATTGACCCACAAATCCACTTGGTTTAAACACTAAACACAGCATCTTTACCGCTAGGATCAGAGAAGCAAAAATACATCTTCTAAAAACGCAAAAAAGAAAATGTTCTTCAGAGATTCATTCCCTGCAGGGCAGAAAATACTTTAAACAATCACTATTGTCATCAGTTAATGAATTAAAATCAGTTGATTCATTAACTTATTTAAATGACATTTGATTAATGCCAATTGAAACTTACATTTAAAAATCCAAGTTTTTGTCCATTAAACATTCAAAGACAAAAAAATACAACTTCTTTCAGAAGAAAATAAAATAACCTCTATGTCCAAGGAAGCAATTATAGGTATCACTTATTAATCTACTGTGTAGTCACTTAGCAGGGTCAGAAAGGTAAGTAATAATAAGAGTTAACATTCTGTATTATATACCAGACACTGTAGTTAGGCACTTTGAATTATATATACTCTTTCAAGTGTCCTATTTCACAGCTGAGGAACTTGAGGCCTAGGTGAACTGAGTGATTTGCCAAAGATTCACAGCTAATGAAGCACAGTTAAGCAAAGAAGGAAGGTTTAGCTTACTTTTATCAGTTTTCAAGGTTAAATAAAGTTCATTCCTGGTGGCAACCAGAGGGTGTTCTGGCCCTTGTCAGGGCCATTCAGAACACTCATTTAGTCTGTTATCTGAAAGTTATCCCTTGCCAGAGACCAGCTCCAGCTGGGTTCAGGGTACCCCAAAGGTGGAGACGGTGTCGACGATTGGGGGGAAGAAGAGAGAGAGAGACAGAGAGAGAGAGAGAGAGAGAGAGAGAGCAGATGTTCTTTCAGGTATAATCCCATAACCTAATCCATGATACCTTAATCCATGATTGCCTTTAAACCCTTTTCGTACTGCCTATAAACCCTTTTCATATTGCCTATAAACCCTTTTCGTACTAATACCAAGTTAAACAATTCTATAGAGACTTAAGTACTTACTTTACAAACTAAAGTGGCCCATCCCAGAATGTTTGGAATGTGGCCCAGTCCAAAGTTCACAGTGGGCTACCTGGAAGTAACCCAGCCACATTCTTTCAATAAAATGGCTGTCTTCTAAAACTATATTCACAATTTACACCTTATTCAACTTCAATAAATCCTAAGATCATGACCCAGAAGCCTGTGACCAATACTAAGGCTCTTAGATGTGACCCGAGTTTGAATTATAACTTGTGTGAAAGCCAAAACTGCAGTTTGTGGAAGAATGGGAGCAATGAGCTTCTAAAGTTAGCTTGTGTTCGTCCCTGATCTCAGAGTTTTTATGTTTTGAGCTCACAAGAGCTTAATCTGGTTAGTGCTGAGTAGAAAGGGGGAGGAAATGGGGTCAGTAGCTCCCAAACACATCCTAGTGGTCTCGGGGTCAACGGCCCTTCCTGATCCCTAACACTCAGTGGGCCTCCGTGGCTGGTTCCCAACAATCCCTTTGCTATAAAAATAAGTTTAAAGAAAAAGTTTCATTCAAAATATTATTTTAAATTAAAAAAAAATTTTTTTGAGTGGAGGTCTCACTTTGTCACCCAGGTTGGAGTGCTCAGTGGCACCATCACAGCTCACCATAGCCCCAAGCTCCTAGGCTCAGATAATCCCCCCACCTTAGCCTCCCGAGTAGCTAGGACTACAGGTGTGTGCTACCACATCTGGCTAATTTTTTTGTTTTTGTTAAGACAAGTTCTCGCCATGTTACCTAGGCTGGTCTCAAGCTCCTGGGCTCAAGTGATCCTCCTGCCTCGGTCTCTCAAAGTGCTAGGATTATAGGTATGAGCCACAGTGCCAAGTCCAAAAAATCCTTATATACTAATAAAAGAAAAAAATTTCCATCATATTCCTATAAATGTAGCCCAGATTTGGAGATTAAATATAAGTGATAAAAGTAAATTATCTACCTTTATTTTATATGCTAGGAAATAGACATTTCTGAAATAAGTAGAACTACAGAATTCCCCTTTTGTCTTTTTGAAAATAAAATTAATAACATTTACAAAATACTGTTAAGAAAAAGGTTGTTTTTTTACAAAAATATGTGTTATGTTTATATTCAGGTAGAATAACATAACTAAAAATGCTGCTGGAAATAAAGTAGTAAATATATTTATCTACAATAGTGATTATCCCTGGGTTGTAGGACTATCTGCGATTTTACTTTTTCATATAATTTTATATTTTTTCAAGTTTTTAGAAGCAGTTTTTACTTCTTTTATATCATAAAAAGCCTTAAAAATACAATTAGCTTCTCTAAGGAACAACCTCATATTTCTGGTTGTCATTCCTTGCCTTCATTTTGACAAGATCATAATTTTCTTAATGACAAAACAAAGATTTCAAATGTAAAATAAACAGATTAATTTTCCTAGAGGAAAATACACGCTATCATAGATCAAAGCGTCTTAATGAGTCAGAGAATAATTCTTTGAACATCGGGTTCTGTTTTGAATCTCCATTGCTTTGAGGTTTTATATGAATGCTGAATCTTTAAAACGTTAGTCTAAAAACGTTAGTCACTTGCGGTGTGTAGCCAGGATAGAATGAAGTAAGCTGTCTTCCTTTCCTTGTTTTATGTAGATCAACAGGCTTAATCCGGAAACCTGTCCTGCTGCCCCCTCAAAAGAGCAGGCAAAGCAGTAAGAAAGAAATGATATAATATTCTGGCCACAAGTACTAGTATGTTTGGAGATTATTTAAGGGAGGTGGGCTAACACCTGGTAATCAAATGGGTGGCTAAGGCCAAAGGAGAAGATGTGTGAAAAATATCAGGAGGCAGCCAGGCTCGGTGGCTCAGCCTGTAATCCCGCGCCTTTGGGAGGCTGAGTCGAGTGGATTGCCTGAGCCCGAGGGTTCGAGACCCACCTGGGCAGGCGAGACCTCATCTCTACAATAAATAAAAAAAAAATTAGCCGGGCGTGGTAGCGCGCGCCTGTAATTCCGGCTACTCAGAAGGCTGAGGCAGAAGGATCGCCAGAGCCCAGCAGGTCGAGGCTGCGGTGGCCGGGAGCAGCCACTGCACTCCAGTCTGGGTGACAGAGTGAGACTCCAACTCAAAAAGAAAAGAAAAATACCAGGAAACTGTCATCAGTTGACCTGCTTGGAGCTCTGTGAGTAAAATGGAAATAGGCATGTAGAATATTCAGGGAGAACTATCTGGGCGATGAGAAGGGGACTTTGCCTGCCTGGTGCTTTACACATGTTTGTTACATCATTTAAAGCTCACAACACTGTGGCCTCAACTTTACAAATGAAGTAACTGAGGCCCAGAAAGGCAAGTGACTGGGCTAAATTCACATTCTCAGTGTGGGAGGTCATGGAAGGACTCTGAGATTCAAGTTTCTTCTCTCTGGGGGAGAGAACTAAAGGAGTCAATGAGCCTATACCCCCACCCCCATCCCCCCCCCAAAAAAAATTCTACTGTAAACATGCTACCCTATTTTAGGAGTAAGTTTTTTCCTTTTTTTTTTTTTTTCCAGATATCCATTCCCATTTGATAAATAGGTAAAAGGTTAAGCCTTACGTAAAATTCTTCAGATGCTTCTGGAGGTCCTGGAAGTAGAGATGCCTTTGGTGGCAACTTGAGTTCATAGGTCATTATACTCCACCTGAAGGGAGAAAAATCTTTGGTCTAAAATTCCTTTAAAATTGAATATGGTGACTGTTACCATTTCATATAAATCTATACATATATAAATAATGTGTATTGCAATTTATTGCTGGATAACATTATTAATGAGTCACTACCCAAAGTTCTAAAACAATGTCCTAGATCAAATAAAAGCACACTACCTGTGAAAAATATTCCTCGCATACCAACCACTCTTGCAAAAATCAGCTTGTACATATGAGATGAAATTATCTAAATACCTTTCTTAAATTAAGAAAGAATGAATGTAAAAATGGAATTAAGAGAAAAATATTAGTAAGACTTAATTGACGCAAATTTATTTCAATTAGCTATAAGCATTAATTTCAAAGCAAACATTGAATCACTTGATGTTAGAGAAAAGCAATCAACTCAAGGTGAGTCCAATCTTTTATCTAAAATAATAATTTTATAGTTTGGAAAGAACATTTGAGTCAGAACATTATTGTAGACTAACAGGAAGTGAGATAAAGATTTTACGCAGAAAAAAGGTATGGCAATACATGAATTTTAAGAAAAAAGCTACTTGGGCTTGGTGGCTCAGTCTGTAATCCTAGCACTTTGGGAGGCTGAGGCAAGTGAATTGCCTGAGCCCATGGGTTTGAGAACAGCCCAGGTAACTTGGCAAGACCCTGTCTGTACAAAAATAAAAAAAGAAAAATAAATAAAAAAGAAAAAAGCTGAAGCCAGTGATAGAACCTAGAGGAAAATCCCAAGATCAATATTTAGAGAGAGCCTAGTGTATAATTCAGACTAATGAAATTAAATCTGTGCATAAAAATCCAAATTCCAAGAAAGTCCTCCAAGAGGCATATATTATATGCTAAGATATGTAAACCAAATAACTACACATCAAACTCTTGAGAAGGAAACACTATAAATAAATTTATATTTAAATACAAAAAGTCATTTATTCATTAATCCATCCATCCATCCATTCATTAATTCATTCATCCATGCAATAGATATACTAAACATCTCAAAGTGACAGACAAAGATCTAGAAACACAAGGGTGAATAAGGTTTCCCTAAGGAAGCTTCCATTTTTGTCAAGAAAACAGGTAAAATGCAAGCAAATAAATTAAACAATTAAATTTTGTAAATATCCAAATAGAGAAAACCACAACTGGAAACGTAAAAGTCAAGTTTCTTATAGCTGGAAATATTTCTCTGGTCCAAAGACAGTTAAAGAAATCCACCCAAATGTCTAAGTTCCTAGCATCTTCTATATTTTACCTCCCACCTTGATAGAAAACAGTTGAAGCTAAAGAAACAGGAGAAAGCCACGGAAGAGATGAAAACATGAGGAAGAGATATGTATTAGTACATATACATATGTACTTAGTACCTATGTACATATGTATAACAACTAAGCAGAGCAGAGTCAGAGGTCAGAAGGAAGGAGTCTGTCTGGTGCACGTGCATTAGAGGGGAGAGAGTGCAATGTTGAGGAGAGGCCCTGGGAACTAGAGTATGGATTCTGGCTTACTGTTCTATCACTTATTAGCTCTGTAACTTAGATAACGTAAAAACCTCCTGAGACTTCTTACCAGCAAAATGGAGATGGCTACATGAGCTATCTCTAGGAGTATAGTAATGATTTAATTATATTATATATGAAGTAAAACTAGGGGTGTTAGGCAGACAAAAAGCATTAGTCATTCTTACTCCTGTTGTTTCCACAAGACTCAAATGTAAAATATTTGTAAAATAATGCTTTTCCGAGCCACCCCACAGTGTTGTTTTAAGGATCAAACAGTCTGGGCGCAGAGGCTCAGCACTTCAGGAGGCCAAGGCAGGACTGTTTAAACCCAGGAGTTCGAGACCAGGTTGGGCAACACTGTGAGACCTCATCTCTACAAAGAATCAAAAAATAATTAGTTGGATGTGGTGGTGCAAGCCTGTAATCCCAGCTATTCACAAGGCTGAGGTGGAAGGATCGCCTGAGCCCAGGAGGCCAAGACTGCAGTGCACTGTAATTGTGCCACCGCACTCCAGCCTGGATGACAGAGTGAGACCTTGACTCAAAAAAAAATATCAAATAAATTAATATATTTGAAAACTTATGTAATTTGGAATACTAAACAATACTTAATTTTAAAAACTGCTCTTTGTAAACAGTAAGTTAATAAAGAAAACATAAGAACAAACAAGTCTTGTGTTTCTAAGAATGGTCCTAGGTTTATTAATCCCCTTTGATTTTTTTTTTCCTTGTGTTTTTTGCAGGCTGGTAGATATCAAGGACTTTCAACATTGATGTGCTGTTTCTCAGCTAAGTATCTGAAGAAATGAATTTCTATAATACATCAGGGAAAAGCACACACCCAGGGTAGAGGAAATATCTAACAGCATTTCCTAGGATGCAAGGGGAGTAGCCTTTAAATCACCAACATGGAAAGCATTTAAAATAACCCATGTTGTTCGGTAAGCACAGATTTCGACAGTTGTCTGGGAAATCACCTCCAGGCTCTTTTACAAATGATGGTGATTTTATTTACTTTCTTTCCCCCAGCTTTGTTAAGGTATAATTGACAAATAAAAACTGTATATATTTAAGGTGTACAACTTAGTGTTTTAATATATATACCCTATGAAATAATCACCCCGCAATCAAGCTAATTAACATATCCATAGTTACCACTTCTTTCTTTTTTTTCTTTTCTTCTGCTTTTTTAACCTTCTGGCTCTTTTAAATACTGGACACTGAATCCAGAAGCCCATTAGATAACAAATCTTTATGTACCCAAACTACTGGAATATTCCTCTCAGGAAATTTTGGATAAACAGAGACAAATGCTCTATTGTCCAGCTCTCTTTTAAAATATTTTGTCGGCAGAAGAATCAACCATTATGTTACCTTATAACAGGCAAGGTTACAATTAATTAGGTTGCAGCTCCTCTTAGAGTAATTACATTTCAGATTGGTAGCTCTCTGATGAGGTTTTGTTATTTTCGGGAAGAGTTCTACAGATGGCTAATTCTATCAAAGTTGTTTTGATTCATGCTAGCTCAAGTTGATCATGATATTTTGATATCTGTCTCCCAGTGATGGTGGGGACTGCTTTACTGAGTCCTGTTGCTCCCTATACTCAAATACTAAGCATCTCCCTTGTAATGCTCAGGGTACGCATATTGTGATTTTTTTGTGTGATTTTTTTTTTATACATGGACATTCAGAAAGAAGGTGGTTATGAGATGTGATTAAGAATAGCATAAAACAGTTTGACAGTTCTTCATTCAAAGCTGTGTTTCAATACTTCTTTTAAAATACTTATTTATGGGGGCATTTCATTCTTAATATATATAATAAAGAAGACATACTCTAACAAAGATAAAGTTTCTATGTCTTTCTTAGCTTTTCTCACTGTGCTCATCAAAAGCTCCCCTGAAAATTAACTATTTTAGTATACCGATCTGAACAGTAATTAAAAGTAAACAGTATCAACACAGCCTTCTACCTTTAGAATAATGGACTCGTCAGACTAAATTTCCATAATTCATTCATTCACTCATCTCTACTAAGTGTCTTCTCTGTGCCAGGCCCAGTTCTCGATCTCAGCGATAAAACAATGAACAAGACCAGGAAGTCTGACTTCATGGGGCTTCTAGTCAGTACATTTTAAGTTATCCCAAATGATTTCAGTATGCTATTTTCAATCTAGTTCTAGAAAAGAATTTGCTTTTACCTGTCCAACATTTTGGTACTGGCTCGTTCCAGCTTCTCTAGTATCTGAGGAAGTTGAGTGTCATCATCATATGAGCCTCCCCAGCCAAGAACTCGAGCAAGGTCATTTCCTGTACCCAAAGGCAATACTCCTAGCTGACACTAAAAGGGAGCACAACAGGAGACTTTCAGACAAGTTGAGAAGTAGGAACTAGAGCACTTCTGTACCCCTCTGGCAAGTGTGTTAGTACGCATTCATGTTAACCAGCAATAAAAAGAGTGAGCACTTGCCTGTTTATTCAAGTTGAGCTTATCAATTTCTGACAAAACCCAACCTACACTTCCATCACCTCCACAGACAAGAATCCGGAAATTGTCAAACTTCTGAAATAACCTTAACCTGAAAGTAAAAAAGTATTTTATTTTAGTATAAATAAATGAAAATCATTCTCCTCAATTCTTTGTTAACTCTGCATTTAGTGGTATTCATGTTCAGTTTAAATACAAGAACTCCTACTTACATATTAATTCTACTGTAAACACTAACTGAAGCGCAATTTTAACTTGAGAAAACTTCTGAATCATAAGGAAGAAAGGGAATTATAAGTGGAAATAAAGATAACATTAGAAGAAAAGGGGAGTGAGAAATCTGGAAACAAATAAAAAAGAAGCAATGACCAGGAGAGGTAAAATAATATGAGATAGTAAAAGTAGTAGCTTTTCTCTTTTCATTCCAAGAAGAAGTTATCTCCTTAAGAATAACAAACCAGGGGTAAGGAACCTAGGACTCTGAAGCTAGTGAGTGACCCTCTGGTGGTTCCTAAAAAGACTAAATTGTGCTCTTAGTACTCTCACTTTTTCTTCTCTTTTCTTATTTTCAGGCCAATCCTTTTACTTCTCTTTCTTCATCTTACCTTTTGACATATTCTGTTTCCTAAATGTGCCTTTTCAAGCCTCAAACATTGTGGAAAATCTGAAAAACATGTTAGAGGGCTAATCTCAACCAAGTTTTACAAAGAGTTATCCTTGGAGTCTTAGAGGAAGAAAGGGAAAAATTAAAGTCAACACTATAAGATAACGGAACTATGAAGGATTATACAACAGATATGATAGAAAGGGGGACAAAACTACCCCAGAATGGCAGGGACAAAGAAGGGAAGAAGAGAGGCCAGACGAGGAAACTCTAGGACCTAAGAGATGAAAGCAAGGGATGTGCAAGAGAAGAAACTGGGTATAAATGAAGAAGGTCAACACCCATGTGACCAGAAGGGCCTGAGACATGGCAAGAAAAAGACAATGGAAACAGGAAGACCCTGAAGGGACAAAAGTGAAGAGGTATGAAAAGGGATGGAAGAGAAATAAAGAAGAGGAAGGTATCCAATTATAAAACACAAAGTGCCTTTTTTAGGCACGAGTATCCAAAATCCCCATTTCTACTATGTTCATGCTTTAAGGCAGCAGTCCACAACCTTTCTGGCATCAGGGACTGGTTTCCTGGAAAACAATTTTTTCATGGACAATTTTTTCATGGAGGTGGGGATCATCAGGCATTAGATTCTCATAAGGAGCACGCAACCTAGATCCTCGCATATGCAGTTCACAATAGGGTTCGCACTGCTATGAGAATCTAATGTGTCACTGATCTGACAGGAGTAGGAGCTCCGCTTGCCTCCAGTTGTGCCACCAGGCTCACAACAGGTCACAGACTGGTACTGGTCTGAAGCCCCGGGGGTTAGGGACTCCTGCTTTAAGATGAGAGTAGAACCCAGGAGAAAAGCCGAGTTGGCCTAAATTACTCTTACAGGAATTGACTATCCCTGGTTCAGAAGACACAATATCATCTCTTAAGAAAAATCATACAAATACACTAAAAATGTATTAATGTTTCAATGAAAATACTATTTAGTTCTTTTTTTTTCAGATTTCAAGTTATATGACATTCCAGAAAGCTGAAAAGAACAGTCAACAAGAATATTTCTTTGTCACATACCTGTAGAGGATCTGTCCTTGAGATCCATGACAGTATCTGTACTTTGGTTAAATAACTGACTATTTATATTACATATAAATTAACATTAACCTTCCATGCAAATCATTTTCTAATGTTATTTTGTATTTCTGTATTTATGCAAGTTGATCTTTCTTGGAACTAAACAAACAGTATTGTTTGATGCAGAATAAATTCTAAAATACTTTTCTAAACCGATTTTGAAGCTTGGAAATTTCAATATTATTTGGGAATTTACATAAAGAAATTATACAACTATCAAGAAGTTTGTGCTAAAACTTATAATTAGAGTTTTAAAAGAGGCAGGAGTCTAGAGGAATCTATCATTTTCATGAGCTGAAAAGTCAGACACATTTCATGCCTAGTGCTATATTCCATTCAAATAAGATATATCAATAATCAATTACCCTAAATGAGGACCTCCGTTCATTAAATCAAACACCTGAGCCGGATTTAGCAACTGTTTAAAACGACGAAGGAACTTTACTCCCTGATTATCTCCACTCTTAGAATTGACAAAAACCAACAGAGGACTAACACAGAACGAAAATGTTGCTCTACAAAAACCTGTAAAAAAAAAAAAAACACAGTACAAGATCAATACATACAGTTTTCTTTCTTAAATTATCAGCAAACATTCAGAGAAAAAAATTCATAAAAACAAAGAACTTCATTTATTACTAGAGCACTAAGTTACAACTTAGCTCTCCAAATGAAGATAGGTTAACTATTTACATACTAAGAATATAGAACCTGTCTTTTAAAAATATGCTCTATAATGAAAATCATACCAAAGAGAATAAAAGTATTAGTCACATATAATTTGAGATGTTCCACCTGCCTTCACTATACTTAATTATAAGAAAAACGAATCATTTGTCAAGGATTTCATATGCTCATATTCAGTATTTTAAAGTACTTAAAAATATATATTCTAGTACATTTTAGTATATATAAAATATATATTTGTTTTAAGTAGTTTATTATATTTTATATAATATATATGCTTAATATATATATTTTATACTGCTCAATATATATATTTTATATTGCTCCTTGGTGAAGCCTGAGAAAACATTTTAAATGTTATAGTAAACAAAAGAACCTTGATATATCAGGGCTTGGGTCAGGGGAGAGGGCTGTTAATAGTACAGGTTTTTAAAAAATCACATCTCTTGAAGTTTATATCCTTATATCTAAGATATCTATTGGCATAAATTATATAGACTTTGAGAGCATAGAGCATGCTATCAATGCAAGACATTAATAATAGTACTGTTCTCCCTCAGTATCCTTGGGGAATTGGCTACAGGACCCTAGTGGACAACCAATCCCATAATTGCTCAAGACTCAAAAAATGACACAGTACATGGTAAAATCCCTTTCTAATATGGGTTGTTTAGAAGGAAGTTGTTAGTATGTCATTCTAATATTAGTGCTGTAAAGCTGTTCCTCAGTTCTTACAAATAAGTTATAAGATTCTGGAAAAAGTGCATTTATAAGAATATAAATTCCTGCAATAAAATTACAGGAGAACAAATTTTAATAACAGCCATGCTGATGGGAAGTTTCAATTATGTAGGGAAAAAAATAGCTATAAAAATTAAACTTTTGGGATTGCATTTCAGTACAGAGTAATGATCTTATTTTATTCACTGAAAAACAAATCTAAAGTCTTATACACAGTAATTTCACCAATGTGCTTATAGCTGTTGCAACTTTTCATTTAAATATATTCTTTTAAAAGATAAGTGTACTGTTCAGCAATTTAAATGACATTATTTTATAAAAATGACCAGAATAACAAATTACAATTGTATTTGCTCTAGGGAAATAAAGGCACATATCAATGTTAAATATACCAGAAATATACATACTTACACTACTGCTACATACCATCGGAATCGGTGCTGTTTAGTGCAATTGGAGGTATAATAGATACTTTACATTGGCCAAGTGGACATATTGGATGGTATAAATCTTTGCAGGCGGTGTGTACCTAATAACAAACAAATAAACACTCAAGAATCATAAAGACAAATTAATGCTTTGCTATATTATAAATTACAGGAACTGATAATCAAAGATAAACTGCATCATAAAATATTCCATAATTCATATACCACATCAATATTTATACTTCTAAGGAACAGACTAAGCATTCTAGGGATGACAATTTGATTCTGGTTTGTGCAGCCTATTTTTGTGATTGCCTCAGGAAAGAATATATCATTAATGAACAACTGGTGAAGGCAAGGAGTAAGGGAGTGCAGAGGAAGGGAGGAAAAGAAAGAGAAGAGGAAGGAAGAGAGGAAAAGGGAGAAGAAAGGGAAGGACAGAGAAAGGAGGGAAGCTAACCAATATATTAACATTATCATCCATAAAATAAACTAATGACATCCATCTTATAAAAATTCTTATAGAATTTAAGGCAAATAAATAAAATATGCCTGCTCTTTCTGCAGTAATTCTGTGACTCTCTAGTCACATTTCTTTTATGACATTTTCCTATCACTGCAGTCACAAGTTCGTCCAAGCTATGTTTTCAGCTAGACTGCGGCTCTCTATAAGGAAAGGAAAGTGATGCGCCTCAAGAGCACTCAGTAAATGTGCTAACTTTCCATAGAAACCAAAGGTTCAAGGTCACTCAAGATGCTACTGAGAACAAAAGCAGAGCTAACTTATTAAGTAGGACCCAGACAATCTAAGATACTGTGTACTTTTATCTAGAGAGGCTTTCAATGTTTTAACCAGGAAAAGCAGATATTTAATGCAGACTTAATACATTAGTCTTTTTAAAAAGAAAACTGACATAATAATTAAACCTGCATTTATCAAGCCTTTTGGAAGAATAACTGAAATTTAATAATGGTTCTTATTCTGGTGATGACTTTTTTGTTATTGTTGCTGTTATTTATTTTTTCTTGCACAGACTGGATGGAGTGCAGTAATACAATCACAGCTCACCACAGCCTCGACCTCCTGGGCTCAGGTGATCCTTCTGTCTCAGCCTCCCAAGTAGCTGCGTCTACAGGCACGTACCACCGTGCCCCGCTAATTTTTTGTAGACATGAGGTATTACTGTGTTGGCCAGGCTGGTCTCGAACTCCTGGGTTCAAGCAATCCTCTTGTCTCAGCCTCCCAAAGTACTAGGATTACCACCATGAGTTGCCACACCTGGCATGATAACTTGTTTTTAAACTGTTTCCTATTATGATTTATAATAACTAACAATCCAAATGCATTTTAGACAAACCAGCATGTACAGACAGCTTTAAAAGGGATTTAAAAATGTATGAGACTCATTGAGCAAAACGTAAAGATATCTATAACGATGCTAAATGAAAAAAGCAGAAGATAACATTCTATCTTCACTATTTTTACAGAAAAGGTAAAACACTATGTCCAGAGATTGGACGACAGCTGAAAAAAGTATGAGTTGAATCAGAGCTTTTTTGTTTTTTGTGTTGGATGACTATGCTTTAGGTGCTAGATATCCTGGTGTTAGAAATTCATATTTTAAAGGCAAAATAACATGTAGACAGATAAATGATCACGTATAGGAAGTACAAGAATAAGTAAAAGAGGTGCTAAAAGGGTGACGGTGACTCAGAAATTGGCATATCTAACTTACAAAAGGATAGGGCTGGAATGATGTCACAACTAGAGCAAGATTTGAGTTTGCCAGGAAAAAAAGAAAGAAAAAACATTCCAGAATGATCCCTTGTACCATCTGTTAATACCACTGTTATTATATTTATGAAGTTGTTTAAAGTTGGGGGTGAGTAGAAGGAACAAGTAAAAAACCTAATTAAAGTCTATTGTTGGTGTCAACAAGAATCTTATTTTATAAATGTATATCCTAATGCCAGAGTTATTCTGAGATTCTGTGTCATAGATAAATAATTAAAAATAAACTCATATGCTGATAGAGGGAGAAAAAGCCTATTGTTAAAGTTAGTAGAGTTGAAAACTAATGACTAAATAAAAGTAGAGATATATATAATATTGCAGGTAAAGACAACTTACATAAAACTTTTCTAAAATAATTCATCCCACACATGATTTTTTTTTTTTTCCTGAAAAGCTATACAGTTGAAACTCTATAAGTAGAGAAATAGACTTCGGTAAATAAATAAAAATAACAGGAAATATTATCAGTGGTTGTCTCCCAAAGAAGAAATCTTAGGTGAGATGAAGACTTAAAATTTTTGTTTATGAGTAGTACTCCTTTAAGATAAAAAATGGTGTAAGGTTTTAGGGGTTAGGGTTGCACTAAGATTCCAAAGAGAGATACCTATTATAGTCTTTACATTTTATTAAATGGGATAAGAGAAATGAAAAACAACACACCTAAGGCTCATAAAAGAGGCAAAAGATGAAGAATGTCAAAAGAATGAGGAAAAAGAGAAGAAACACAGCTGATTCATTAGTTCTAATTACAAAGCTGTAGGACTCACTTTCTTTTGCGGTCTATGAAGATGATCTCATGGATCAGGAAATCAATACATCATATATCACTTATGTTTGCTGATCTACACCATACTTACTACAAGCAATGGTTTTTCCACATTTTAAAATTTGAGACTGACTTCCAAACTTAGGCCAGCAACTTTAAAAGACAACAAGACTCAAAACAAATAAGTCAGCCCCGATGCAAGGCAATCACTGTCCTCATAAGACAATATAGCCCAGCACTAGGGTGAGCACACACAGCCATGGCCTCTTTGTCCTGTGATCCTTCAGCCCCACATCACTGTCTGTGTGCATCCTTCCTACTTTGTCCTCATGCAGTCCAGAGGCACCGTCCCCACGATGTACAGCATAAACGAGACCATTCCTTGCTGGTGCCTGCACATTACGTTGTATGTGCTTGTCACCTCTTGCTCGCACTTGCAGAGAAGTATTTAAATATTCACTTATTTATCTAATATCAATTTATATAATTTAAATTACATCAGTGCATGGCCTATCGAACCCAGTGTTCTGTCTGAGAAGACATGCGGGGTGGTAGCAAAATTACATTTTGCGTATCAACCAAGATTTGGTGGCACATGGAGAAGGGCTTTCGGGTGGTAAACCAGGTCTGTGTGGATGAAGCAAAATGGAAAACAACAAAACTGCGAGAAAGAGAGTCTGAGACATAGGAAGTATTTGAGCAAGAGTAAAATGACCAGGCTGGAAGGAATATAGTTTAAGAAAAGGAGACCACCACACTGGAGTGTATATGCTACCAATATCTGCTCTGCATTGATTCTTTGCTTTGCCCCTAAACCACATAGAGGACAAAGTTAGTGAAAGAAGCTAATTAAAAAGGGTGAATTGATTCCAAAATCCTCACCATTGTCTTACACCAAAGGCATTTCCAATCCTGCAGACGGAGAACACTACCACATGTTTTGTCACAGACAGCACACTTGGCACTCACGGGCAGGTTGCCCTCGAGCCATTGGTGAGGCATCGCGACCTGTGGGCAAAAAGAAAGGGCAGCCAAGGTAAAGAGGGTGGCGGCCACCATGCTTACCCCAGTGGAGATACTGAAGGACTTTTCACTTTAGGGAATCAATAATATGCTTAATGCATAGCATTCACTTATTGGCCCCACATGTGCTGAGTATCTATTATGCCTGAGTCCTAAAGGGATACAAAAGTAAGTAAGATGAAAGCCCTGCCCTTCAGGATTCAGGTAGAATCAGCTGAGGAAAAAAGCATGCAAAGGGATTGTGATAAAGTGATCACTAAGTGCTAGCAGAGATTTGTATACAAAATGCAAGCAAGGGCGTTCACTCTGAAGAGTGAACCTCTGAGCTCAGCCTTGAAGAACATTTCTGAGTTTCTTAGACAAAGGTCTCCCACACCAGCTTAGCACAACAGCCACTCCTAAGTCCTATTCGCAACAGATTTCCCTCAAAATCTAAGAGTTAAATAAAGTGATGAAGGATCGAATTAAAAATAAAAACTCATAATTAGTTAAACTCTTCTATGTAATCCTAATGATAAACACTCCAACTTAGCTGTCGTTAGGTCACACAAGAGCAGAAAATAGAAGAGGAGGTACTGGGAAAAGATGAGAGAGAGGCAGCATCTTACGCCATCTTCATCTTCAATGATGTCCTTCCCAATGGATGCCAGGGTGGTCCATTTGCAGTTATTTGTTGCCCTCACCGCACATCTTTTGTGAGCCTTGAATTTACACACTAAAGGAAAAGCAATCATTATTAAGTGAGTAAGTACATTTGGACCAATGATTAAAGGAAATCATAATATAAAATTTTTAAAGGAAGGGAAGAGGTAGAATGAAAACAAATATTTTACAAAGTTTAAATTACTCTCTAACAGCAGTGATGATACTCTAAGAAACAAATATGGCTATGTATTTATGAAGCATTTTTATCAAGCTGTAGATAGACTGCTACTTAGAAGAACATAAATGAATAAATACAAAAGAATTAGTGTTTGAGAAGTGAGACAACATATACACACACACACACACACATACACACACACAGCAAAAGCAGCAAACAAAATTTGGTATCAGGGCTGCTGGTAACATCCTATTTCTTAATCTGGGAGCTGATTACATGCGATTGTGTTTAATTTATGGCAATACACCAAGCTGTACACTTCTGATATTTATATTTTTCTGTACATATAAAGTATTGATAATAACAAGTTTCAAAATGTCATTAAGAGATAATTCAGAGTTTTAAAGTACAAGTACATCAAGAAAATAAATATTCAGGCATCATGGGAAATAGATTAATGAGGGTCACAAACATGGCACTATCTGTGAAAGTATTATATTGGGAGGACCAAATGATAAATGTAGACAGAACGAATGATGAGGTAATGTTCCTAGTACAGGCTTCACTGATTCTCCCCAGTCATAATATCATAAAGAAGCTTATGAAAGAGAAATAAGAGGAAATAACTAGGAAAAAAAGCAGCACATATAAGGAAAAATGAGTTAGCCACAGGTTATTTGGAAAATTAACCATGTTTATGAAAATCCGAACTTATTATTTACTACATTTATCCCTTTAAAGATGTAAATTGTTCAAGCATTAGTTAATACCAATGTTGTATAAGTTCCTGACTTTTCAGATAAATAGTTAAAAGTAGAAATCATCTCAGCAGAAACACGATGGGGTAAATGTTGCTAAATTTAAAGGTAAGGTGATTCCTTTACACATGATTTTTATTTTTTTATTTTTTATTTTTTACACAGAAGGTATTTCATAAAAAAATAAGTTTAACTTTTTTTTTTGGTAGAGATGAGAATCTCACTATGCTGCTGAGCTGGTCTCAAACTCCTGGCTCAAGCAAGTCTCTTGTCTAGACTTCCCAAAGTTCTAGGATTATAGGCATGAGCCACTGTACCTGATGATTTTTTTAAAAATTCTAAGTTAATCATTAACAAATTTTGCATTACACACCATTCTCTTTAAACTGTGCTAATCTGATGTAACATGAAAACAAAAAGGTTCAGGTAAAATAACTAAGATGTCTCCTGTACATACAAGCTTATTGCAGCACTATTCACAATAGCAAAAACCTGGAACCAACCCAGATGCCCAACAAAAGTAAATGGGTAAAGAAAATGTGGTACATATACACAATGGAATATTATGAAATCATAAAGAACAACAAAATCATGGCCTTCGCAGTAACATGGATACAGCTGGAGATCATCAGACTAAGTGAACAGAAACAAAGAACTGAATACTGCATGTTCTCACTCATAAGTGGGCTCACTCATAAGTGATCAACTGGTCACACGAGAGTAAGGGTGGGATGGGCAGACACTGGACACTGCTGTGGGGGAAGGGAGGGGGGAGGGAGATATGTGGCAACACACTGAGTACTTGGTCCGCTATCAAGGGGCGAGAGGGTCAGCTAGAAGCCCAAACTTCACCTACATGCAACTTTCTTATGTAGTAAATCCTCACTTTTACCCCACAACTCCAAAATTTAAAGAAATAAAAATAAAATAACTAAAACATCTACATCAAAATGTTAGAAATGCTTCAGGTATCATGATTAGTCAACATATAAAAGGTCATGTAAACTGAACTTGTTTATTCTTGAGAACTATTAGTCACTGAAAATGTTTCACTTACCCCTTCTTTCATGTACTTTGAAAAATTATCTCCTGGCAATCATACTCTTTTTGTTATCAATGTGTGACTCAAGCACAGACTTCATATAGAAAGCAATATTTCAACTGGTTTTTTTGTTTACGTATGAAGACACAGCACTGGAGGAAGTAAGCTTGGTTTGAAGAAATTTTTTATCATGAACTGCTCCCTTTTGCTCTCATACAAGTGACTATTTTAAATTGTAGCTAGTTATCACTTCCAGGCATTTTCATCTATTAGGATATTTTTCAAAAGTGGGATCCTAAAACGACCAGCAACAGACTGCCCATAGTACTTTATAAGTACAAATAAACACTTGATATTAGCAGTGAAAATCTGGTTTCTAAGGAGAAATGAAGGACATAAAAGAGGATAACCGGATATAATTTCACAGCTTTTGGAAAATTCTGCATTAAAAATCAAACAGTTCGTTAGAAATAAAAATCACACTTTTGTAATAATAAAGTGCTTCAAAATTACTTAATGTAACAATAATGTTAGTGAAACAAATCAGACTTTAATTATGGTCACTAAGAAATGGAAATGATCAATGGGCACACTCATTTTGCTAGGTGGCAATTGGGTTTCTCCAGACAAGTTATTCTGAAATAAAGTACTTTGCCCTGACCTGTAAAGTTATTATTTAAAACCAAAGAACTTAAAAAAAAAAAAATCGACATGTGACACAATTATTTTTATTCCTATATTCAGTCTTTACTATACTGAATTATTGTAAGGTTAAACAGTTAAGATAAAAATTCTTAAGTTTCCATGTTGACATAGTTAATGCTGTTTTTTTTCTTAAAATAGTTTTTTTTAATTAAATTGCTGTTTAAATAACTGTGAAGGACAAGTATGTTCTTAAATCATAATTAACATACTCAATTGACCTAAGGGATTATTTTTGGAACCGATTTTCTGTCTGCTATTTTTCACTCATATAATATTTCATATATACAAGGTTTTAAAATAATAATTTCAGTTATTATTCCACACAAACCTAGAAATCAGTACCACTTCATTTTATTGTGAAAAATGAGGGGAGAAAGGTTAAGTACATTTAGTAAGGGCTTCACACACTGAAGCTAGATGCTAGGGATATAAAGTTACTCATTATCACTGTTGAACGCATTTTTATTATATTTGTTTCTCTCTTATAATGTTTAAAGCCTCTTATAGCCAATGTTTTTAGTTTTATCAAACAAGCATCTTATTCAGGCTTTAGAAGCTTTTTCAAAGTTTAAGGATAACTCTGATTATATCAAAAATATTGAGAAAAACCATATTCTCATAAAATATAAAAAGTCAACTCTTTTATATTTATAAAAACCTTGGGATATTTATTTATTCACTCCTTTGAGATTTTCATTGTCTCTTTGATTTTATATTTTTGGTTAAATCATTGGCTAGACTAAAGAGTTTCAGTGTATTGTAATACTTTAAAGTACTTAATTAGTAAAAACACTTTTTAAAAATTCCTTTCTTTATAAAATTATCTATGAACTACAAGGGCTGAGAATTCAATCTTAGATGTCAAGATCAAATTTACAGTCCTTGGTTCCTACCAGCCTGAGTTTCTCCTGAATTTATGCTTGACTTTGGCAATCATTCACAATTACTTGCAGAGGATATACTATATCCCTCTATGTCATACAAAGCACAGATAAATCCAAAACTACCTTCAGAAGAGACAAAACATTTGAGTTCCAGATGTTGTTGAGGCTATTGTCTAATGCTGTTTTTCTTAACACATTTACACTTTGCATTTTCACCATTAACTTCACATTAATATCCCTTGGGATTTTTTAAATGTTCTGCCACAGTTCTGAAAATACTAATAGGCATATTAATGAATTTAACCAGCAAAGAGAATTAATACCAGTATATAATTTTCTAAAAAAATTTAATTTGACAATTGAGACTTTTTAAAAAAGTCATGAAAAATACGTTACTTACAGAAGAATATGAAAAATTTATTGAAAGGCTTTTAAGTTTTTAAATTCTCACCAACTAATGTAATTTTCATTTTTCTTTTTAAAATGTTTAAAAAAAATTCAGTCATTCCACTATTGACTCAATTCCTAAATAAATCTATTTAATAATGTGTAACTCTCAAGTCAGAAGGGTATTACAAAGTATCTCAGATCTGGTGTCATTTTTAGCATTTTTGGGATGAGAGACTACAAGAAAATAGTAAAAGATCTTCAGAACAACACCACATAATAATCCAGATCTGGTAGGTATTATTCATCTCTCTGTGAACCTTTTTAGATTACTAAAGTCATAACGGCCAACTAGACCTCTTCTGCAATCATTCTTTAAGTTAAAAAAAAAAAAGTGAACGCCTTCTTTAAAGTTCCACTTTCAAGAATTTTAATGCATCAGGCCTATGATGCAACCTGAAATTATTTACTTGATATATTTCTTACACAGCACAGTTACAAATCTCTGCAAAATTTATTTGACTAGAAAAGTCATTTTACTGTCTATCATTTCTCACTTAATTTTTATAGTGACTCTATGAGGTATAAATGACTATTATCGCCATCTTACTGATGAGGAAAGGAAAGTCCAAATGAGTGGAAATACTCCTCCTGGCTATGGTCTGTATGGCGAAAGTGGAAGAGGGCTTAGCTGTGGAGCTGTGTTCTTAGCCACTATGCTGTATCACATTAAATAGTTGAAACAATGATATTGCACAGATTTTATAATTTAAAATCAATTAATGTTGTGAATCTTACTACTTTAGTACTTAACATATAGCTCTATTCAAAATTACTTAAGAAATTTTTGTATTAGAGAATAAATCTGGTAATTAGTACTATATATAGTTCAAAAAGTAGTATACAATGATGCAATCACTGAGGTATGAAATTAAATAAGTCTAAAAAAGTTATGAGTTTCCTCTTGGTAATTATTTTATTTGCTTTTGCTGGTCAGTAAGTACTCAACATAAAAAATATACACAAACCCTATAATGGAAACAACAGCATAGACCTTATTTTTAGAAAATTCTAAAGAAATTAAAAAGGATGACATCCATTTAGATTACACATAAATGAAAGAAGAGGAAATAATGCTTAAAACAATGCAATATAAGTAACAAAAGGAAATTCTACCAAAGAGTGTATACTGTTCTCATAAAAAGTTTTGTTCTCCATAATCAGAAAAAGATTACTAGAATGATATATACGGGCCAAAGATGCTTTTTTTTAGACAGCAGTTCCTAATTTCTTAAGAGTGAAATACTGTATTTTGATTTATGTTTCTTTTAAATAATTTTACGTTACCTTATCCTGAGCAAAATATTTCCCTAGTTAGTCCTAGGTGTGCAGACCTCAACTTGAAACTACAAAAAACCCACAGTGGTAGCGTGTCTACAGTACAGACACTGTTGAGAGAGAACACATGTTGAATGCTACAGTACCTTCACAGGACAGGCCGTGGGAGGTGACTCCAGACAGACTCTCTCGGCATACGTTACAGAAGGTGGGTCGGGCATGGGAGCAGGCGTACCAGTTATGCATCCCTGAGAAATGTTCCACATTAAACTGGGCCACCTAGAAATGAGATATGAGGACAGATTTGCCAAACAAGTGAGTAAGATTACAGATGTTGAACTGTTGGGAATGTATATAGTTCTTATCAAATTTTCAATTCCATCATTTTTAAAACCAAAGCACTTTGCTTTAAGTTAAAAATTTCAAAATCTGGCTTAAGAAAGTTGTGGAGTGAGTCTGCATATCCTCATTTTTGCCCAATATAGCTGTAGTTCTTTGGTTAAGATGTATTCCCTAAGAACATGAGATGACAGAAAAGATGCTACTTGACCTCATAAGGTTCTCTGGTCTGTACTGACTTCAGTGAGCTGATCCAATCCTCCATCTCCTTTCTGTTCTCAGCACACAGCATTAGCCTTCTGAATGGAGTGATTATCTGAAAGGGATAATTCAATCTAATGATTGTTGATACTCAAAGACAAAGATTGTTGAAAAACCTAACATCTTAGGAGGTCATTCCATTTCTAATCCAAGTCTTCGTTTTCTTGTTGAAGAAAGTAAGAATCTCTTTCATATTTACACTTTTGCTCTCTGTATACGATATGATGTGGTCAAGAAAAGAGAAAGTTGAAGGAGTTTTTTTTATCTCTTATCCTTCTGCTACTTACTTAGGCTTGTTTACCCTTTTCCAAGACTGTGAACCCAAATAAACAATGCATTCTTATTTCATGGAATAGATCTTGAAAATTGATTTTAAATAAACTTCAAAATAAATCACAGTAAGCTTAAAACTATTACATAGTTTTCAATATGAAAAATAGTTTTAAAATTAAAATCAGAGGAATGCAGCATTAAATGATTTCAGAGGTGATTTACTAGGGTATCAAGAATATTCTGTTAATAGCTAAATAACACTGAGTTTATATATCATTTCTACTGCCTGTTTTAATGATTTATGAATAATTTTTCCTCCATTGTGTAGAATTCTATTTTTTTAGTGAGAGTAAAGAGGAAGAATTAGCATAAAAATTCCTTAGTTGGCTTTAGGGAAGAAAATAATTATGACTTTCATCTTTTTCCATGTCATTAAAAAAGGCAAATTAATTATATGAAGAACCTTAAAGCAAGTGGAATGAAAACTTCATGTGTTATAGCACCAAAAGTGTTTCAAAGTTAATATTCTGAAATGACTTGAAACAAGTCCCAATTTACTTGTGAACACAATATTCTGGTTGTAATCTTTAAGTGACTAAATGTTAAGCATTTATTGCAAAGAAGAGACCATTTATTTACCAGCAGGACAAAAGCAAAATGTTATAATCTTATGTAGAAATTATTTCCAAATAATAAATTACATATTTATTTATATAGCAAATAGTAAATTTTCCCAGGTTAAAAGCCTTTTGATCAAGTGATAAATCTAAATGTTACACTGCATTACAGAACAGATTTCATCAGTAATGAAAAAGCAATACTCATCTAAAAAGAAAAAATAAAAAGAAGCCCTTCCCAAAAGAAGAAAAACTAGTAAGCCTAAATCACTACTATTCATCTTAGAAAATGAGTCCATTATTCAAAGCAATAGAGAGATCAGCCCAGTCTTAGCTACTCACGAATCATTGCCTCTTTATTTGTCATGGGTCTGGGCTACATCGTCCTCCCTGAAGTCAGAAGCTTTTAATATATCTGACAGTCACTCACACTTAAATACAGCTGGCCAAAAGTCACATGACACGGGAGCACCAATTGATCAACTCTGGGTATTTGCTAATTGCATATGAAATTGAAGAGAACCTCACTTTTACAGTTTCTTCTGTTTTCTATTACCCTCTTTGCATAAAGCTTATTAGCAGCTGGTAACTTCTCTTCCTGAATAAATAGTTAATGCAAAGAGCAATGCCTTCCTCATTACTTAGGAACCAAATGGATGCTTTATTGCTTCAAAATGTTTTTCTAGGACAGCTCATAAGATGCAGGAGAGAGGTACCATTAAATCATAATATGATCCTGGCTCCGACAACTGGCACAGCATTCCAAAGATCTTCAAGTCTCACTGCACTCACTGATATTATCCGAATGAATATCACCTCTAGCACTTATTTATTTTTTTGCTATACTGTATCATGTAACTATAAGAATTCTCTCCCATTTATGTGAGACAAAGCAAGTACTATTCAGACAAATAAACCAGGCTTGCTATTTCATTCTATAATTTTGTTTTTGCTGAATTCTAAATAAATAAAGCATGATGACTAATAATTTTAACTATCTTCAATGCTTTTACATTAAAAGTCTTGTAAAGTCAACTTGAATTTAATAAAACGGGGAGAAGAAAAGATAGAGAACAGCCGGGTGCGGTGGCTCAAGCCTGTAATCCTAGCATCTTAGGAGGCAAAGGTAAGGGTATTGCTTGAGCTCAGGAGTTCGAGACCAGCCTGAGCAACATGGTGAGACTTTGTCCCTACAATAAATCAAAAAAATTAGCTGGGTATGGTGGCGCGTGCCTGTAGTTCCAGCTACTTGGAAGGCTGAGGCAGAAGGATGCCTGAGCCCAGCAGGTCAAGGCTGTGGTGGCTGTGAGCTTACCACTGTACTCCAGCCCGGGTGACAGATCGAGACTCTGACTCAAAAAAAAAAAGCGGGGGGGATAGAGAACAGCTTCTAAATTTTTTTGTACTTTTTGGAACTACATAAATGCCTCAATTCTAAATGACTTCAGCAATATAACTTAATCATTCATGCTTATATGCTAATACAGTAAAATGTATACATTTGAAACTTCCTCTTTTAATAAAAAATTGTTTTAAAATGAACAGCAATAAGCAAGCAAAGATCATAACATAATTTAATAGAAAGTTAAGTTTTTCAGAGGCAGAAAGAATTAGAAAGTTATTTTGATTTACAGGCCTTGTGAGTTAAGTGTGGTTAAGAAATCTACTGATTATAAAGTGACATTATAAGAAGTCTGTAGAAGAAAGAAATCCTTCATAAATCATATGTCACAAAATGTCTGGCTTATGGCCACAGTGCCAAAAATTCCTCAGAGTTGTCTGGGGTAACTTGACAAGCCTGGCTTGCCAGCAAACCTTTAACATTCCCAAAATGGCCCTTTCCCTCCTGGGGTAATCCCTTGGCAGGCCTTCAATGCTCTGAGTTCCCTCTCACCTTTTATTTAAATTCTTGCTCATTCTAGACAGTAGAAAGAAAGAATCTGACATAGTTGTTGACTGACAGGCTCTGATTATAACCCAACTTCAACTCCATTATACTACAGTGGCTTCTCATTAGAATCCTTATTAGAAAAATATTTTGAGACAAGTAAACTCCGAAAATTATTTCATTCTTACTACAAGAGTATATCCAATTCAGCCTCTTTATTATGACAAGTGAGTAGGCTGTGGGAGACCTAAGAACACAATCCCTTCCCCGTACTGGGGGAGGAAGGGCCATTCCCCAGGGAAGACCAGGTCTGAGATGGCCAAGTCCAGGGCATTTCTGAAACTAGAGAACATTTTACTTTTTGTGAAGTAGCCAAAGATTATCTGTACTAAAGTGTCCCCTAGTCACTGTCCTTACCTCAAGATCACTCAAATCCTGTCTTCCTACAGCCTCTACATACCCAAATATTTTTTTTCAGGCCCATCTGAACTTACTTCAGTAATTTTTAAAAATTATAACCACCATTCCCACCTCAGATCCTGGAACACATCTGCTCATCCATTGAAGCATTTACAGAGTATGTATTGCATGCTAGAGCCCCAAAATAAACACCATGTGAGCTTTACCTTAAGAGTCTATAAGGAAGAAAATAAACAAACCAAGGATTTACCTGTCTGAAAAAGGGCTGTACAAGATGGAGTCCAAAGGTAAGACAGCTAAATCATTTCCCTAAGTGCTATTCCAGCTAATACATAAACTCTACATTAATAGCGGCACTACTCTGCTTTGGAAGTCACTGGACTCTAAGGATTGATCCGAAAACACTATTATGTGTGTATAAGAATCAAGAATTTCTCAGGCTGATAAAGCATCTAAATACATGAAAAAGACATAAAACTATCTGGCATTAAATATAAAATCTATAGAAGAATAACATTGTAGTCAAGTCTTTAAATATATAAGTGTATGCAGGGCAAAAAAAAAAAAAAAACATAGCCAAATACTGAACTGTTACATTTCAGTGAAAGGATGACAGGTCATTCTAATCACAATTTTTTGTTCGTCCTCAGTTTCTAAAGCAAATATGTAGTACTTTTGTTATAAAAACATTACTTAATTTTTTACTAACAGAAAGATGAGAATTTAGAAGATAAAAATTTGCATTGTTCCAAAGCAGGAGTTTTCAAACTCTCCTACACATTAGAATCATCTGGTGGGAGGGAGGTGCTATCCAGGCCACATGCCACACCAATAAACTCGGAACATCTGAGGGTGAGACCGAAGCAACAGAATTTTTTTTTTTTTAAAAAGCTCCAGGTGCAGGTAAGTGTGAGACCCAGTGTATAAAGATATTTTATTGTTCCCTATAATAATGTTAGAACTTTAAAAAAATGAGAGAAGTGTCTGAAGAAAAGTGAATCAGAGGGAACTGTTAGTCTCTAAATTCTCAATTGGAAATCACTAATATAAAAGCAGGGTACTGACCCATCCTGAATCCCAGCAGCATCCCTGTCTGGCTGTGGACACATTTCCTGTCTCTCTGAGCCTGTCTCTCCTTTGCTAAAGGGGAATAGAGTAATAACTCACAGCTCTGCAGAATCAGGTATGGAGCAATGAGATATAACCAGGTAAAGCATTTAGCATAGTCCCTGTCCCACAGAGAATGCTCAGCAAATGCCAGCATCACAATTCTTAGCAGTAAAAGAAATAACATCAACATTTACAAATTTCTTCTGTAATGGAGATATTTCTTGTCTAAGTGTAGTTCAAGATGAAAGTCAATTGAGTGTAAGTCGGAAACTGACACATTTTGCTAAAAAAAACAGTCACTGATAGCAAGCCACCAAAACAGGAGTCATGATAATGGTCTACTGACCTACTCTTTAGAAAATGTTAGGAAAATATCAACCAACAAGTTAGGAACAAATGAACTCCTCTTAAGCATGGCATCTAACCTTAGCCAAAAAAGCAGTAGTATAAAATGGCAAAAGGCTTACTAAAATTAAGATCATCAGAGTCTCTATACATCACGGAAAGAATTCAGCATGCCATCACTAGTAGGTACCACATATAAACTGTTCAAGATAGATAGCCACTCTAACTCAGATTTTTCATTCTGCAATGAAGAAAATTCTAAAACTTTTTCTAGTCATTTAAATGTCCAATAACTTTTTCCAGTTAGGAAACTCTTATTTAAACTAAAGTTCTTTACAACAAATTAATCATATCTGCCCTAGTACAGGACTCATTGTTATATCTTAGTGATTAATCCTGAGC